CTGCGCAGGCTCGAAGGGTTAATGACCTTTCCCAAATCTTCGCTCGCGAAGACTGGCCATTATTATTATCATTAACAAGAACTAACAGAACAAATAAATCCTTTAAACTCCAAGTGAGCTACAGTTAAAGCAAAAGTTTATTCTGCACAGCCCAAAAAAAAGCAGATGGAAACACATCTCCCAGAACAAGATATTACCAGGCCAGGCCAGCATTATCTCTCTCTACATGAATGGGATTTGTATGAGACTGTTACTTCCAGATTTGTGTTATTATGTGCATTAAGCTTTTGGTGCTGAACTGGTTAAAAAAAAGAGTAAACTAATTCATCAGATTTTTGGCAAAAAAATTGCAAATCAGAAGTCTGCTACTATTACACAGTAAATACAAGGTAAAGCAGATGTTATACCTCCTGACTGCAATGATTCTTACCATCAATTCCAATGCAGTCATTTGACCATGAGGCAAAAAAATTCTCTAAGTGGCTGAAATTTCTGCTTCAGGTGTCCCTTTTTCATATTACAGCTTCACAATGGTACATGGAAATCTGAGTGACAAGTAGGTGACAGTTGTTTCCAGTTCTCCAAAGGGTAGAGATCATAGAGCTGGAACAAAACTTGCCTCTCTAGTCCTTCTACTCTTTTGATCAACCACATTACATAACCCCTTTTTAAAACTCATGAAGGTTCATTCTAAAATGGCAAAACTACTTCGATAACTCATTTCAAAACTATGTAAATTCAGTTTATTGCCATTCCTTCTTGTGACACGATTACCCATTTGCCCTTTTGTACAACTCTGCTCTAGTGACTCCTCTGGGCAGATGGAGCTCGTCAGCCCTAAGGCAATCCATCTAAGAGAAGGTCACTCTAAACAAACCTACGTCCTGAGGACCTCGCTGCCACCGTCCGAGCTCGCTCGGCCCCGGCAGATGAACCTCAGGATTAAAGGGTGGGCTCAGTTCAGCGCACACTGGGTCTCACCTAAAAAATCCACTGCACAGGCTCGAAGGGTAATGACTTTTCCCAAATCTTCGTTCGCGAAGACTGGCCATGATGATGACTCTAGCGACAGAATCTTCTCTTTTTAACTTTTTAAGTCAAAAACATCTATTTGAGAAAGACATAATTATCCTGTGCCAGAAGTCTTACATGCAGCACCTTGTACAATGAGCCCTCACTTTAGGTGGCACCTTTACACACTACCTGAGTACAAACACCAACAGCAGTAATGGTTTGTGGCACTACTGAGGTGTAGAAGTATCAGAAGTATTTGTAATGGAATTTAGAAATATTTGTAATTGAACAGTGGTTTTGTAAACATACCATTTAAAGTATTTAATTCCTCACGTGTTTGGACAACAAACTCAAACATTGTTTCTCAGCAGATTTCAACTCTGCTTAAAAGAAACAGCTTACCACAGTTAATAATTTTAAGTACTAAGGATCATTTTTCCAATTGTTCCAAGTTTCATCCATATGATGCACACTGCAGTAGGCTTTCTAACCACCATCCAGAGATACTAGGTTACAGTTACATGGAAAAACAGAAGGAGAAAAAAACTATAATAAAAAAAATTGATGATTAAATCCACTTGTTGATTTGTTTGGGTTTTTTTCCAAATGTAGTATCAACAGCAAGCTTGTGCTAAATGTATAGACTCCCTAAATATATTGCCTAAAACGGCAGCACCACTGAAAAAAATCCTGTAATCCATACAGTGATACTGTTTTTCTTGCTCATATTTTCCCTTACAGTTCCAGGAACTGAAACATTAACTGGTTACTGTAATTT